AACACACCTCCTGATGCATGTCTAATTCCTCACGTTTCTAACACACTTTCGTGATTTGGCTCATAAATAATAAAGCCTCTGAAGTGAGGGTATTTGGCTTAACATGTAAGAGATTTAAGAGAGCGAGTAGCTCACGCTCGGATTAACATTCTTTCCGTATTTATTCACTTTCACAGTCTGAAGGTATGTTTGTGAGCAGCCTATTATATAGGACGGATTCCCCAGGATCTCTGGACTTCCCACAGATGGACGGAGAGAGAATGGAAACCAGAACCAGGAGTGGCATTTAACTGGAGAGCTGAGATGGAGGTTATGAGCTCATCAGCCGGCCAGTGAGATAGTTCTTTTTAATGACCAGCTATGACAGACTCATATGGTAATATTCTAGTGACTAGCACACCATGGAGTGCCTAACATACCTTACCACACCCATAATAATGGCAGATTAAAGGTCAATCTTTCATACTTTACTGCCCTTTGTTAGTTTAGTAAAGTAGTGACAGTAATTCATAAAATAGAGAATGAAGAGTTGTAAAATGCTCTTTTAATAGACTGTTAGGCAAGGAATATAATCCAGTAAGCTTACATCTTCCTTCTGTTTTACCTGTTTATGAGTTCATCGGTTCATCCAAAACGGGTTGCCAGACATTTGAATTGGTTTCTCATCCATATTAATTATTCCACCCTTGGAAATGTCTGTCTCTGATATTTCTGCCATCACATTAATATAATGGAGCCCATCATTAACAGGGGCAGTTTCTTCTGTTAACAGAGAGGATTGTGGAATATCCAAAACAATGGGGAAAGGCACTTTGCTTTAAAGTCATCAGTCAGAACTAGATGTGTGTCTACAAAGAGACTTCACTTGAGAATTATGGTTTTAGGTGGATACTCTCTTTTACTTTAAGTATATAGTGTTTCAGGCTCTCCTATCTTTCTCAGTCTACCTCTGCGTGATGTCTAAAACATGACACAGCAAAGATGTGTCACTGAGTGCCAAACATTAAACAGAAAGGAAGGAAGGAAAAGACTTGGAATCTGAAAAATTCTGGGTCCGAGACTGTTTATGGAAATTAACAATCCATGGAGACAGGCCTGTTTCCTGGAATAGGAAGCGTTGTACTTCTTGGCACTGATATCACTAATAATTGGAGCTCATAGCAACCGTAATACCATTTGGTGACAGCATTATTTAGGTAGTATCATTATTTTAGCCAGAATGAGTCACAGTAATGAAAATGTTTTCTGTCAGAGGTCATTAAAATGTGCCATTATCCCTATGTGTGTAGACACTCCAGCAGTAATTTATTAACAGAGTTTTCAGTTTCATGACTTTCACTGAGTATTAAATATGTGTCATTCAGGAAAACGCTGCATTACAAACTGTACTCTGTGGTACAGTCTCTTTTTGTGAAGAAATACACTGTTCAGTACAGTAATACAATCAGTACAATAATTCTTATGTGAACAGTGAAGAGTGAAAGCCCTTATATATACAGCCTCACCAGGCAGTCACTGTTTTCACACATTAACTAAAACCTTATTTAGCTACAAATACTGTAAAAAGTAGCATCAAAAATGATAAACTACAGATGAATGAATCACAGAAAATGAAAAGCACTCCAGCTGGATGACTATAAAATGAATTTAATACTGTTCCTTGCCCAAATAATCATCAATTATTACCAGTATATATTCTATACTAGTTTATGATATGATACACAGTTTATTATTGAAAAAAGTTGTATATGTAGTATGATATTGTGTGTATTTCATCATTGAAAATAAAATGCATTAGAGTCCATGCTATTCTGTCTGCAGTGACCCTAATGCAAAATAAAGATTTATTGATATGTTATTTTAGCTAACTTCTGGTTAAATGCACAAATACCAAATGAACCACAAAGAGACACTAGTGGATGTCAGACATGGCTACAAGAAAACCGGCAGTGAGGTAGAAAAACCAAAAGAATCCGAGGGGTATGATCGAAGCATAACCAAATGGTGAAATCTAGACCCTATTGCAGCCTTGGGGGTGGAAAGTAAAGAGGCACTTACTGTAGGTAAATCATCCAGAATACAATCCAGCAACATGTATTAATTACCACTTATAGACCTGTCAGCCTCTAGCAGTCTTCTGAGAAGACACACAACTTATGGAAACTGTAACACGGAATAAAATTAGAAAGAGCTTCAGCAGTCTTTAAATAGATCTCACCTACGAGATGTTAGTTTCCGGAAATGAATTCAGCCCAGCCCCCACTTTGTTACACCTTTAGTAAAACCTGCAGAGCGAATCAGTTCTCACTCCCCCCACCTGATTGAAATGCTAACCACACTGGTTCTTTTATGGTAATTTACATCTACACATGTCTATGTATGTCTAACGAGTCCTTTGCTTTCAGTCTCTCTATTGATAAAAACAATTCTCATTCCCTTTTAGTTTCTATTTCAACAAAGTAATCTCATCCGGAAATTCTCTCTGTCACACACACAAACAAACATACACCTCTTCATCATTCTCTCTGTCCCATTTCCTTTTCCAATCATTGGGTATGCCTTTGTTACAAGCTTTTTCCCACGTTTAAACCCACTGATTCTCACACTATAACACAAAAACAAAACCCACCCACTTGCAAACACACACACACACAAACACACCCCAAACCCAACCAACACCAACCAGTAACAACATTTACCTGCAGGGGCAACAAAGTGTTGCTGTTGCTGTCTGTGCGAAACATGTTCTCCTCTATCCAGGACTTAGGCCCCAGTGATCCTCCAGAGCGTGGGAACTTGGGGGGAGCGATGACGTTGCTCGAGAAGGGCTTCTTCAGGGGCGAGACATGACTGACCGAGCCAGGCACGCCCATGCCAGTCCCTCTGCGGTGGTCCCGGCCCCAGGACATCCCCCCGGAGCCCCAGCCATTCCCCTGGTGACCGCCCCATGGAGATGGCTTCACCATAGGCTGCGCACACAGAAGGTGTGGAAAGATGGGAGGTTAAAAAGGCCATGTACAATTTTTTGTCAGTTTTTAGTATCTATATATTATTTCAATTTCATCCAATCCTGTCTTTTTATCCTTTCTTTTCTCCCTGTCAGCCACAGCCTAGCTTGATCTGTTCCTGTAAGGGGTGGGTAGATAAGAAGATTTAGGGCTTTAAGACTAATACTAAGTATCCCGTGCGCTGCGACACCGCCAGCGTAAGTTACACACACTCTCTCTCTACCTGGACCTTGTGTCCACTCTTAAGCATATCATACATCCAATCGCATCATGCTTAATCTTGAATGCTTTCACGTGAAAATCTTACACAGAGGACAGTCTGTTTCTCACACACTCTGTGCACAATGTGATCTAAATTCCCTTTCTCTTTGTATCAACTGCAAACAACTACGGCAGGTCAGATCGTGGTGTACTTGAGGAGTAGTTTTTATTATCTACATAACAGGATAATCTAAAGTGCTGTAAAAGAACATTTAATTTGCAGAGCTTGACAGAAATAAATTAGGTTAAAAGTGGCTGTTTCACTCTTGTACAAAACAGCCATTTAAAAAAAAAAAATTTTAAGAAACAACAAATTATTTTTTTAAATATTTATTTTTTCTGCACCATTTTTATTGATTCAATTAGTCTCCTTTTTTAATGTGTTAATCCTGTGACGGTGGGACCCACAGGTTCTGGTTGTGTTCGGGGGTTTTATGGAAATATATTTACATAGCACTCTAATCAAAGCATGGGGTTAAAGGTCAGTGAAACAGCAACACCATAGAAGCACACCCAGTCACACACAGACGCTCAAAAACACACACACCCAATGTGCAAATCACATGAGAAACCTGAAGCCGAGGGCTACTAACGCATGCAGGCCCCACACTGCTGCATAAGTTGAACCTTCATGTGAGCCTTGCTATTGCTGGTCTTTCCACTGGGTCCCCAACTCACTGCCAACACACACAGCTAGACACACACACACGCGCACACACACACACACCACAGAGATACTAGACGTATTCATTGCACACAAATAAACATCCATTTAGGACACCAAACCCTGCAAGCCTTTGTATTCCCACTGACTGAAGCACAAGACAGGGGTGGCCCAGTGCCATGTGACTGCATCCCACTGCCAGCTTCCAGGAGAGAACAACAGCTAGATTCAGTGATGCTCCCTTGTTCCCCTCCCTCCCTTTGCCTCAAGAGTACTGACTTAGGCCCTTGCAGAGGACATGACCAATGCATTATGGAGAGAAAAAGACGGTCTATCCTTCAAAGACTGCATCATGTACACAGAAACACACCAATAAGGCTATGCTTTCTCTCTGCAGCGTCACAAGATGCTTCCCTAACCTAAGGACATCCTAGTGGTTGCTTTCACTTAGAATTATGGGCACCTGACATCTTGATTCAAATAGGCTAAAAAAAAGGATGGAGCCATAGTGGGCCTCGGGCCTGTGTTTGGCAGTCAAAGGTAACCTTCATGTGATTAATGCGCCCTACAGCAACTCACCTGATGTTGGTTGTAGTTGTTTCTCTGCTGCAGGAAGGCGCCCTGCTGGGGATGCATCTGGGGACTGACCGGGGACCTGCGACTCTGTGCCTGCTGAGGGACATTTATCTGGGGCGAGAAAGGACCGCTGAAGCCCTGCACATTAATCCCGGCGCACGGATTAGCTGACACTGGCGAAAAACTCTGGAAGAAGGCCGGGTTGATGGAGGAGGGGATACCTGGGTAGAAGCTGTTGTCAGAGTCTGCGCTGTTGGGCATCTGGTTAATGGCGTTGGCGTGGATGGGGTTGTTGATGGAGTTGGGGGCGGGAGGGGGCGAGGAGCTGGTCTGGACGGACCACGGGGTGCCGAACCCGGGGAGGGAAGGTGAAGACGAGCCTACGCTGGCGCTCTGCATGTCCTGGGTGGGGAGGTTCGGGAAAGCGGCGCTGAGACCTCCGGACAACATGTTGCCGGTGCTGCTGCTGCCATTGCCATTTATATGGTGGGCGATGGGGGAGTCCATTTGGATCTTGTGTGGGTTTACGGAAGTGGGCGATGGCGACGCAGCATCAGCTTCAGCCTCTTCCAGTGGAGAGCCGCAGCCGGGGCCGGCAGCGCGGGGCTCGGGCTGCCTCTGCGGCAGGTGAATGAAATGTCCCGGGGGTGGGGGCGACTCTGTGGGGCTAAACTCAGTGTGCTGACTGAACTGCTGATGTATTTTTCGGCTGTGCTGAAGGTCACAGATAGACTGCGTCGGGCAGAAATGATCTCGAGTGAAACCGGGGAAAGCTATCTTCTGGTGTAGACGGTTGTAATCCGGTGCGGATGAGCTCGGCTGGCTGTCGCGGTTCTCGGTGTGGTTCGGTTTCTTGCCGGATTTGCTGACCGTGCTGCTGTTGCTGTCCTTCTCCTCGGTTGACGGGGGTAGTTGCGTGGTTGTCACCCCCACAGGCTCATCCTGCATGTTTTGCTGATGCGCAGCAGCTGACAGGAACAAGCGGCGCTGAAGGGCGAACCGGGACGCAACTGGCCGCAGGAAACCGGCAGGACGAGGCGTAGTATCCGTCAGCCGGCTAAAAGACACCGAATTCTGCTTTCAAATCAAGCAACTATATGCGTTTGAAGCTATAATTTAACCACCGTGTCTAAGTGAGGTCTCTTTAATAGGAAAATGTCTGTGAATAGGTTGTAGGCTACAGGCAGAGACAGAGAGGAGGGGGTCCGGCCTGCGCTAAGAGTCGGCTTGTTCTGGTCGTAGTCTCTGTTGTACTCGGTTATATTATCATTTATCTAGAGCCCGAGATATTTCGGCCTTGGAGTAGGCTAGTTTAGCCTGTGCGGTCCATTCCTGTCCGACCGTGCTACCCCCTCCTCTGGTTACCGGGCTGTGCTGCTGCTGCGGCAGAGGATTAAAGATCCCCGACTCAGTTACGTCACGGCCGCATCACGCCTCGGTGCGCCCGCCTCCAGGCTCGAGCCCGAGCTGCAAAGAGGACCGCATTGTTTACGTCATTTTTTCATTATTCATAAAGTGCAGTAGGCCTACACCCTCGCCAAGCCCCTGGAAGTAGACCACTGTGGGCCGAATTACAGCGAACCTTCTTAAATATTTCTGTGGAGACCTTAGTGAGTCTGTTTGTCATTAATGAAGTTGTTATGACCCTATAGTTACCCCTCCATAGCATCATAGCACAGTACTAGGCTATTATCTAGGCTAAAATGATGTAATAGTTTTGTCATATGTGTGTTCTATTGTTCATCAAGTTGATTAAAGTTATGTATGTTAAGGCACACAGCTTTGATTTTATTTCTCAAACTGGAACACATTATAGATGAATCTTCTTATTGAAAGCCAACTGAAGTCCTAAAAGATCCGAATGAATGAAATCTCAGAACTGCTTTTGTAATTTGGGGCAAAATTATTTCGATAAAAACTCAAACATTACCAGACTACAGACCAGACAACGAGGCGTTTGCTTCATCTTGTGCCCATCAGTATTCAGTCCACACAACCATTGTGCGTGCGTCGGCGCCGGCGTCACTTTACGCACGGACGCCAACAGCTAAATATAGTTTTCTATGTCAGCGCTTGTCAAGGGAGATGAATCTTCATCGCCTGTTCTGAACTCAACGCTGACGAGCAACCCTAGCGTATGATCTGCCTCATAAATGGCCCCCACCAGCAGCACTGTATGGCTACTGGCAAATTATATTTGAGTGCGGATGGGAAGGAGTGAATGTGTGTGTGAGTCCTGAGCACGTCACCATCTGACTGGGCTCATTTTGTGTTTGAGGCCTGAAGAGATAAACAACAGACGGGTTTATTCAGTCTTTTATTCACTTTAAAATTCAAAACAAGTATCGGCTGGTAATTGAGGAGATGCAAATGAGCTGGAGGTTGTACAAAAAGGCCCAGTTAAAGCTTCAGTTTTTTTATTTTATTTTGTTGGTCCACTGCCTTTGGTGTGAGCACATATGTTGTGTAACATAGACTGACATGGATCATTTCTCTTTCTCAACACCGGAGCTGAATAAATCATCACATGCTCTGTGTGTTAAATGTGGTTTGTAATGAGTAAGATAGATACCACAGTAGCAAAGCAATGTGCATGATCAACCCACCATCTGGTTGCTGCTAATAATGAGGGCTTATCTCAGCACACACTACACACAGCCTTCCGCCCTGCATTGTCACCTATACAATGCTTTTTTAAATCAAAAGCACATGATTACAGAAGCAATGTCAGTTTCAGAACCTCACCAGAAACTCAGGAAATACTGTTAGACCGAATGTTATGAAGTTTGTTGTTATGCCTGCTGGGAGCCTGCCAAGTGCGTACACATACATTGTCATTACCATTGTTACATTCATTAGTGCAACAAAGCATTTCCTACACGTACAAAAGTTTCGGCAACATCAATGACAGGATTTGACACCAATCACTGACGTCTTGATTTTCTTCTCGCTTTTCACAGCATCTTGAGCTGTTTTGGGATGTAAGAAGACACCCCCCAGAAATGCCCCATCATAAGATCCCAGATGGGACAGTCCCACCAGTGAGGGGGCAGGTGTGGTGGCCCACGGATGGTGCTGAGCACCAGTGATTACCCAGGCCCAGTAAGTGCTGGAGGGAGTTAAATAGGGCAGGCTGCCAGCTGCTGGTGTCTGATGGGCTGGGGGAGGGGGGTCAGTCCGGGTGGGTGGGTTGGTAGCGGGGGTGGTGTTAAGGGTAGAGAGAGGGAGGAGGGTGGGGGTCCATTCTCTGACTCCCAGCTGCCCTGCCACATACTCAATTGACACATTGATTCAAATGACCAACCTGAGAATAGTTCTGCACATTTGTGTTCACCTTTAGATTTATCTGTGTGCATGCTCACTGGAGCATATAGTGCACATGGGGAACTAATGTGAAACACAAATATCAATATATGCATGAACATATTATCTGATTATGGATGTGGATGTAGCATATTAAATGGACTGTGAGAAATAAGGCACATACAGCCTCCATTTTAACCAGGTTACTGGTTGCGTTGCTACTGTTGGTTATTAGGAAGCACCTGGCCCACTAGGCAATATCAAATTTCACTGTGCTGATAAAGCTGGCTCTATTTAGGTCTCTGTCAGAGTGGATGGCTGTCACACTGCAGCTGCAGTCGTCATAGCAACAGGTAATCTGCATTTCCTTTTGTGTGGTTGATTACTCTGTTTGACTCGGCTCTCTCTCTGTATGTTTGAAGGGTTGGCCAGAAAGCATTGATCAGCTCATCCTGTTTGACAGACCTATCCATCAACTGTGATGATTCTATTCTGGGATTGACGGGGTGTGTTCCAATCTCTTATAATCCTATCTCAGCATACAGAAAGTATGCCTCCGGTGTGCCACTCAACACTGGTTTCGTATTTCACAGATGTCATCGGGCAGAGGTGCCATGGACTTAGTTTCCCAGTGGAAACCATCAGATTCAAACAGTGGTAATAAAATCTGATATGTACAATCTGCACCATTCTACCATCATACCCCCTTATGAATAAAGGGTTGGTTCACACAAATTACAAAAATGTAATTTACCTGTTGTGGTATCTACCTATGCAGATTGGTTTGGTTTAATTTTTGAGAGATCTGTATCTATCTCTTTCTGCCTCCATGAATGGAATTTAGTTATCTGGATTATCACCAGAGCGTGCTGTATACAGGGTTCATTGGAACTGCTTTCTACAGTAGAAACTGTCTTTAAGAAAACTGTTTGTATCCACGGTAACAGGTATACTGATTCTGGAAAGTGATGTTACTGAATTTTTAGGTCTAATTTGTCAATTGATGTCTCCAAACCTGGGCAAATCTATTTGCATTTCTAGATATCAGTTGAGGGAAATGGAAAGTATGTTGCATATTTGTAATTTGGGTGAACTGACTCTTTTATTTTGTCATAGTTTTTCCCCATTAAGCTAGGCTGAATTATAACCTCAGGTTGTCCTACCTGAGGTTATAATTTTTCATGGCAGTATGCAGTTTTAATTCCGGCTCATGGGAGGGTTTTTGTTCAAATTTGCACCCAGCATGGCCTCCAGGACGGAGGTGTCTTTGTTGCCCTAAATTGTCCCTTTGTTCTGTCTCTCTGTGCACTGAATAGTTCTTTGTGTTGCTGACTGATAAAGCTTCTACAAACAGTCATCTCAGTCACACACATGCACACACATAAACAAAGACACACAGCCAGAGGTGTCGGTAACGATGTTATACCCACATTAGATCACAAACTTACAAACAGATTGACATACAGTGCGACAGTAGATGCCTGGATAAGGTTATCTCTTATCCAAACTGGGCATGGTCCCCAGCTGTCACACCTACCAGTCCCACTTTATTGCCTCAGAATCCATCAAAAGGGCCCTCCCATCTATGATTGGTATAATTCTGCAGGATTGAATGAGCGGTGAGTCCCTATCAGACTGGCACATATTTGCATTTTATGGCCCTTCTGCAGAAGGCTTGCAGGACTGATTAGGAGGTCGGTTTTTCAGAGGAATGAGGCCTGAGACCAGGCAGGCACAGCACGTGTGAAAGGGTGTGATTCTCATCATCAGACTAGGCTGTATATGCCCTAACATCAGTATAGCTAACTCAAAAGAACAAGCCTCTGCTCAATTTACGATAGCTTCCATTATCTTTGATCAACTTTATCTGGTTTTCTTTGTCTTAGGGCTCTCCTGACTAGTGCTCTCATCGCTAATCCCATTCCCAATATTCCCATGAGTGCTCTCCAGTGATTGTGTCCACATCATATCTGTCTACTCTCTTGGCTTCAGCTTGTGAGTGTTAGGGAAAGATGGCATTACCTTATTGTCAGCGTAAATCTCCTTTGGCTGTTGCACAGAAGCCAGAGCATTGTTGTAACAGCAAACATTCACGTGAACAGATAACAGCCTGCAGCCTTTTGCTTTCCATAGGCCGTTTATTTGCACACAAATACATGAATGGCACACACACACAGACAGACCGTAATGTCAGTCAACAACAGGGGTCTCAGACTTATGGGGATGCCTGTAATGCTGTTTAAAGAAGAAATAAAGAGGAAACCCGCTCAGCCACACACACAGGAGCACACAGGCGGTGTGTTCACTGATTCAGTCTGTGAAAGCACCTGTCCATCAGTGTATTGCATTATTGCAGGTAATGTAATTAGGTGTGTGTCTGTGTGTGTGTGTGTGTACATGTGTGCCTGTTTGTATGTGTGCATCTGCACGTATGCTCCATACATTGTCAGAGGGCATCTTAAGTGTCCCCAGCACAGAGCTGCAGCTGGGGGTCAGAGGTCAACAATGACAGGTGTCCCTGGCCTCCAGATGTCCTGTGGGAAGCCAGCAGGGGTAGGAAGAGCACGGATGTTAATAAAAAACGGATGGATCATTTTCTATTTCTATATTTTTCTCTATCTATTTCCCCTTCTCTATCTATCTACCCACAGAATAAAACAACATAAATGAATACATTTACACCAAGGAGAAAAATGGCAACGCTTTGGCCCCCCATACTTCTTTTCATTGTTGTTGGGAGCTTTGTCGTACCTTGTTGACATAGAGACAATTGCACTTTACTATAAATACTGCTAACAAAGAGCGTGTGAACCCACGTACAAGTGACTTCTTTCCTACCTATAGGACAACACTGTATCTTCCTCATTTGAGCTGCAGTATGGTTGGAACAGTAGACTTTACACATCAGTGCCACCCAGTGGTGAGAATGGCGCCTTCACGACAAACTGAAAATACAAGAGGCATCTTTTCCTACCTATATATTCTTTAAGGAAGGCAGCAATTGCATGTGACAAAGGCTTTGATCAACAGTTTGAGATTCGTGGTTCACATTATATTTAAGCTCAAGCTAATTGAACTGTTCTATAATTCTCTGCCGCAACGTGTCCGAGAACAGTTCAAAAACAGTATTGCCAATAATATCACAGACTTGTTAAAAACACCCAAGAAAGTTGTTTTTGTTTTCAGAGAGCAGCACATTCTTGCAAAAGAGTCTCACGCTCACTGAAAATTTGTTCCAATTCGAGAGGGAGGTTTCATTTTTAAGGCTGTGATTCTCTTCCATATTAACAAACATGAATTTAATATTTCCTAATTTTCCAAACTTTTCAGTGAACTGCAACCTTGAATATTCTCCATCCAGGTGACACTCATGGAAGATCAAACAAACCAAACCGGGTATATCTGACATATAGTAAACAGTCCCTTCCCCCGGGCCGACCCTCCACTGGCTTTGTTGACTCGTGTGCAGCTCAGCTTGACAGTTTATCCATTGAAGGCTCAGAGAAGGTTGGAGAAGGTGAATGGAGACAGGCAGCTGGTCCAGATGGCATCCTGAGCAGGTTTATGAAGGAGTTTGTTCAAGATGCTTTGATAAAGCAAGTGAAAATTAGCTTAGTGTTGCAGTAATTAGACCCTTGTCAGGTGATGTTTAGGTTTGTCCATAGACAGAGACAGCTATTTGTGTCCTTTAGCAACAATTGCTATCATAATGTGGATCAAAGTTGCAGCTAGAGTTACTTGGTTCATCTTTCGTATGACTATTTTTCCTTGTGCTGTGGTTTTGTTTAAATAATATATTGAACTGGTATATAATGGAGAAAAAGGTGATCACAGCCAGCTTAAGCTCAATGCCACATTATAACTTTAATTTGAGATGTTACAAAACAGGAATATACCTTTCAAACACAATACAGCCCTTGAAATGAAGTTACATCAATTGCTTTCACTGCTGGGGTTGGTATTTGTGAAGTTACAGGATAGGTGGTTAAAAACAATACTGACATCCTCATGTACACTGAAATAATTTCCTTATCTGTGATCATTCTCCTGTCCATTCTGGCTGTGAAGTGGCCGATAACGTTCTATTTACATATAGGCTAGTATTGTAAGACACCCTTAAAAATGTGAACCTCTGCTCTAATTAATCAAGTTCATTGAAAACATGGAACAAATATACATTTTTAGTTAAGAAATCATCACATCATGCAAGAAAAGATAACTTTTTTGTGCATATTACTATCTTAACATAACAGCATAAATGTAAATCATTTATTGAAAAAGGGGAACTAAAAAGATCCTGTACTGTGGGTGTTTTTATTTTAAGAACCAGTGTATGAGATTTAGTTGCATCTAGCGGTGAACTTGCAGATTGAAACTAAATGGTCACCACTCGTATCTGTATTTGACGACCTGGGGATGAGAATGGGTTGTGAAGTGTGTAGAATAAACTATGGTGGCTGTGAAATGTGCAAAAACCACAAAAGGCCCTATCTGCAGCCAGTGTTTGGTTTGTCCATTCTGGGCTACTCTAGAAACAGTTAAACATGGCAGACCTGCAGCGTCTGTGGATAAAAACCTCTCATTCTGAGTTAATATGAATATTATATTCCATTTCTCCCAATAGAGCCTCCTAAAGGTTACACACTAGACCTTTAATTTATATTCTGTTATAAACTCATGAAGAAGTATGTCATACTATTTTGCATCAGTATGATCACTATCAATTATTTAAAGGATGAAGTCTCAGATTGCAACTAACTGAACACAGCTTGCGTCTCTATTTGACAACCTGGCATTGAGAACGGGCTGTGAAGTGTGAGTGAGTGAGAAACTACGGGGGCTTCCCCTAAATGTCACACACTGATCCTTTAATAAGACTGGGATTACATGGCAGGTGACTTAAAATACAATGTTAGAGTTATTTACTGAAAAGCAACATATTAACAGGTAAAGTACATATTATTATGTTGTATTGTTTATGTGAGAGTCAAGCTGCATCTAGATGGTTTTGTTCATTTTGTTTGGCTTATGTTTGATTATATTTGTATACAGTATACAGTGCATGTAGTTATTTAATTCATGTGACATCTTTTTGGACATTATATGTAGATGTCTTAAGTCAATATTAATTGATGTGAAAAGTCAATAGAGGGAAGTACAATAAACTTGATGGCATTGGGGAAAGCTGTCATAGCATAGCTCCATTATACAAACACCAAACAAGTCCAATTATGAGGTTGCTAAGTTTAATCATTATCATATTAATTATAACAATTGAATCATTATCAAATGAAAAGATGAACAAAGACTTTTGTATGATGAAATGGCTGCAGTGTGCATCTCTGGCCATAAGGGAGCAGTGTCTCCCTTCCTAATGCTTCACAAGTCCCAGATATTGCCTTAACAGACACTTGGGAGCAAGGGACTAAATTCTTGGAACTGCTAATATCACTTTGACTGTTATGTGCCGATAATAAAGTCAATGAAACATCTTTTTATAATGCATTTAATTTATATGTTTTTCAGTCCAGTAAACTGGGTTTTCATGTCCCTGAAATGTTTCTCCAGGGCTGTGTGTGTGTGTGTGTCTGCGTGTGTGCGCTCTAAATTCATCCATCTCCAACATTTCATATCAGAGCTATAAACTTGGCTTGCTCCAGTAGACTGTGATATTGTTGCTGGAATGTTCTCTGAAAGGATTTTTATGGTCTTTTCCTGTTAAAGTCTCTTCTGGGACCAACTGAAAATCTTCCTCAACAGACAGCCAGGACGTTCCAGTATTTTTGTAGAAATTCCCCCTGACAACCTCAGAACAAATCTAATAAAGCCTAAGCACCTTGCTGGGCTTTCTCAAGTCTCTGTGATGATTGCAACATTCTCTCCCCGCATGATAGAAACTCTGAATCTGTGAGACACTGTGGGTCTTGCATTAATTGACCTTTATCATCGTTATTATTTTGCTCACATTATGATTAAAATGTGCATGTTGATGTCTCAGCATTGTTATGCTGTTATGCTACAAATCTATCCACTTTTGGTATTAATTATTTACCTTTAATGTAAGTCCAATTTGCTCTCTGTTTTTGCTGGACCATAAAATGTCACAGTAAATCCTGTGTCTTTGAAACTATGGCAGATAAATGAGAAACACAGGCTTTACATTATAGCAATGCCATACAAAGGACCCTCTCTCTGTTTACCAGATTATCTTTACATGTGCGTGTGTGGGAAAAGAACTGGTTATTAAGTATTTAGAATCGTCTTGCACATGCTCCATGTCAGCATAAAATAGAAACATTATAGTAGACAACCTCAGTCTTTTTTGTGTAAAATAATCTATTTATAAAGGCTTTATTGAGATAACTACTGAAATACACGGGAGAGGGACTGGGGATTTGTATTCCAAAGTGCCTCAGGCTACATTTATTGCATGACTTCTCTAATGTACCTGAGTTGAATCAAATACAGGCAAATGTATAATGCACGGGTCTTGTTTCAATGAGCAGGCACCATCATATAAAAAAATCATTCAAATATTCATTAGACCAGTTTTATATTAGATAATGTTATTTCTGTAAAAATAATACATTGTTATTATGAAAGAAATTTGATTTATCAAATTGTAAAGGTAAATTATAGAAAAACTGAAAGGTGTGTTCTTTATGGCATAATATAAAATAAGAGAGAACAAAAATAAGTGTTATTGCTTAGCACTCAGGAATAGGGCGTGTTTCTAACCAACGAGAGAAAAAGCAACGCACCATACTGCTGAATAACTTTATATAGGTGTCATTTTATGTAATTGTGATATGTGGTCTTAGTTTGGTAAGAAAATAAAATAAAATAGTCCTGATGCTAAAAAATAATGATTCAAATGAGATAATGCACATACATTGATCATTTTAAATCCAATATAAGCATAAATTGTGGCTCAACCGTTCACATTACATAAACAACTTTGTCTCTTTATCATGTCAACATAGTAGAATACCTATGCTCCTCTTACATTTGAAGATGTCCTATGGCTGTTTCTGCACTCCAAAAGTGAACACATCATGTTTTACATACCATTATTTGTTCTGATGGAAAAGAAAACACTGCAATCATCCAACTGTATGAGTTTACAGAGCACCATAGCTTTATATTGAATATTTAATATTGAACCTTTCCAGTAAACGTGTTTCTTCTGTTTGTTGTCCAGAAAATCAACTGAAATCGCACATTTCTAATGTTTGTCTTCTCTAAATATTTAAATCGGAGATGACAAATGTCAAACCCGTGTCTTTTTTTTATAGCACAGCTTGTGGTTTAACATGACATAGCTCTGCTGCATCTGCCAAATAATAAACATATTCCTAACTGTCCAAGGTGGATGAGCATGTGTTGGGGCCATTTGTTACACTGTCATGTGCAGTATGAACTGTGCAGGCTTCCTGGGTGCAGCTGTTATATCCTGGAGCACACCTCATTGTCTCACAATAGGACAAATTTCTGAGATAGAGTTACAGTATAAAACCACCAGGCCTCTGTTTTTGCCCTTATATATAATGTATAATAGATGGTGTTATTATATAACCATCTATTACTGCATTTGTGGCTAATTTATAATTTGTTTAAAGGTGTACTTGTATGAAACATTTCAGTCTTGGTTACCGTGGTAACAGCAAGTGTTGTTTAATAAAACAGCAAACACTCCTTGAGTAGCTACCGTGTCAGAAATACAACAGAAGAGCAACTAGTGTATCAGTTTGCAGCGCAACCAAATCCAGGAACAATGAATACTACAATATTGAAAAGTAATTACAGAATGTAAATACAATGAGAGGCTAATTTAGAAAAAACAAACAAAATATAAATAGTATCAAAAACAGAGTCTGATTAAATTAAATCTGAAAGATCATCACTTTAAATTCAGTTTGGATAATATACGTGTGAATGTCAGTTGTGCAATATGTTACAGATGATGTAATGCATCTGTTAGTTTGTCCTCCTCTTGCCTGTAGCCAGAAAGCAGAGTGGGGAGAGCAGATCCTCCTCTACTTGTCTCCTCACGGCTGTGTTTACAATCGGCATACCACGCCTGGAGCTGCTGCGCTCTAGAGTTTCACTAAAAAGGCCCGGGACAGACTCCTGTTTGAATCTGTGTGTGTGATTGTGAATCTAAACTCTTCTCTTTGTTTATGTCTCCCTGTCCCCCGAGTATTTCGGGCACCACTGACATGCCGCTCCCTCGCTGGATAATAGGATGAAGTTGGACGCTGACAGTGCTGCTCTCTTATTGGATAATGAGAGGAAGTTAGACGCTGACACGACATGCGCTCTTCACTCATGTCCTCTTTCATCTGGTTTCAATTGTGGCTTTTAGTCTTTTTTTCCCCTTCTATCAAGAGCCAAAAGAGCTTTTGAAGAAAACGAGAGAATGAGTGAGTTAAAGGATGGCCCAAACACTAATTTCAGAGAGGCCGAACCACTCGTATCACCCAAATCCCCTGTATGTTTATCTGGATCTATTTCTGCTTTATTTCTTTACCACACAAACTCAACAAAAGAGAAAAAACCCTCCGAAATAGTTTCAAGTAACAAACCCTTTAAGCCGACCTTATCTCCACTCACAGGTTCGTTTTGTATTAGCTGACAGAGGTATCTGTTGAAGGCCAGGTGGGTACACGGGTAAAACTCGCACACAATGTCCTTAACACAGCCTGGTTTCCCCTCACCATCCTTCCCTCCCTCATTCTTTCCCTTGAACTGTAACCTCCTGCTTCTCCTCCCACTTTATCTTGCTGTTCACTTCTGGGATGATGCCTTCAGTGTCACCCAGTACACAATCTAAGTATTCTGACCAGTGTATCTGTTAGAAGAGATGGCAAAAGTGTAGCTAGGGCAGAGTTCAGACATTGTTTCTCCTCCCATCCCCCTCTCCAAGAAGAGACAACAGGAAAAAAATGATGGGGAGAAATGTTTACACAGTAGATGTTTGCCTGGAGTACGCTCTTAGCACTCCTGAGTTAATGATGAACTCAGTATTACTAGGTAGGCAGCTAAAAGGCAGACCTCATCCTCCTTTTCTTCAGCAGTGACAGAAAGCCTCTCAGACAGCGATAAATGGTCATGAGGCGAGTGATGAAGATAGCTCCTTCCAGGCTCCACTCAGCGTCATATGAATGCATTTCAGTCCAATAAGATATTACTTTCCATCCTCCCTGCATTAATGGATTACATGAGCCGTTGGGGAAGTGTAAGGAGATCAGTTAGGTGAGGCCTCAGTCGGTGACAGAGTTATCCCCCAAAGCAAACAGACTGAGGCCAGTGCATAATGACTTTCAGCATGCATCTGTTGTTCCAGGCTGACCTACAAACACCTCGAAGTCACCAAATATTACAAAGTTTTTCTCATAAATCATAAACTCCAAGATATTTTCATTAAAATACAGTAATGTGACATAATGTGGCTGCAAATGCAAGAGAACACCAGCCGCTGACATTTTGATTAGAGCTGATGTTACATGCAAACAATCAGGATGGAAAACAAGGTCAGTGAAACGGGTGACTTGATATCCAACAGGCAAACAAAGCCAGACCCACAATCTCCACCTTTCACACTGATAATAAACCATTAATCATTGCTGTAGTTCACTGGGTTAAATCCTCATAAGCTCACTTAGATAAAGGGCTGGTTCACCCAAACCACTAAAAACATTTTTCTTACTTACTACTAATGCTGAGAAAGAGAAACATGTTTTCTCTTATCTGGAGGTAAGTATATTTTTGGCTTTATTTGTCCATATTTGAGCCATTTCTGCATCCATTAAAACTGAGGTGAATAGAGTTTACTTTACTTCTAGCATTTAAAAATGATGGTAGCACTTTATAAAAAGAGTAGCAATGCTTAGCTAATACATGAAGCATGATGATTTATGAATTAATGCAGGATTATTCCCATTATACACCATTTACAAATAATCAAGTCACTATAATGTTGATTACTTTGATTATTTAATGCTTAATAGATCACTAATTGATGAATGTTAACTCGCAGTTAGATCATAAATTAATGTATTGTCCCATCAGCTGCATGACAGGTACAGACATACAAAAAAGGACATTTCAGTTCCTGCTTACTCTGGATAACAAACACATCGTTAAGGGGGCAGGAAGCAGGAAGTGAGAACCTGTGCAGATAAGATTTTGGCGTTAAGGTTTGAATTTTATTAGAATACTTCAAATTCTCCAAAAATGAAAATATAATGTTACATATAGCTATTTAGCAGCTATTTGAGCTGCTCCAGTGGGTCTGCTCAGTGACCAACAAGAGAATGGAGCAGATGTGAATGTACACTCTGTAACCTGTCTGTAACAGGGCGTTGCTAGAAAAGAGCATGTGTGGCTCAGGTCAAAAATTTTCTTCAGCAAATGTGTTAAAATGAGATTTTATGTTGTGTCTGCAGTGAAGCTGAAACAGTGCAGTGGGATTAGCATTACAGGAGCGTTTTCCACCTCCCTATTCCCCTCCTCCCTCCATCTGCACTAAACTGTCCCTGGTGTGGATACATTTTCAAGATTCTGGCATGTAGCTGGGTCAGTGCATGTGCGTGTGTGTGTGTGTGTGTGTGTGTGTGTCTGGGTTATTGTGAGTATACATGTCCCCAGAGTGGATTCGTTTTCACAGCTTGGTGGTGTGGCTAATAGCAGATTCAATTTGGCATCTATTTTAATCCCAAGGATGTGAAAGTCACAGCGGCACTAATCATGAACCCAAGCATCAATAACCCCAACACACACACACACACACACACGTGTTCACCTTTGTGTAGGTTACATATGCAACATCAGTATCCCATGTTTCTATAT